CTAATACTTATTTTAACCCTTTGCCTTTATGAGGAAGAACAAAATCACAAAATTTTTAAAATACATTCTGAATTTTGAGTGTCATTCCTAATGTGTATGAAAGACACTTATCTCTGCTGGGAAAACTTCAACGAATTGTTTTAGTCCCCTACCGGTGAAAGCGGAGAGGACTATAGGTTTCCTCTGAGTTTGTCTGTCCGTCTGTATACCTGTCTGTTCGTCTGTCTGTCCCCGTCTGTCTGCCAGTCTGTCCCACTTGGTTTTCCGCACTTTTTTTTTCTAAACGCTTGCATCTATTGAGCTGAATTTTGGTATATGGTTGTATCTTGATGAGTTACACATCAAGTTTCAATTTTGAATTTCGCATTACTTCATTGGTTTTTGACAGAATAATGGTATTTTGAATTTTTCACATTCGTTTAATTGAGATCATGTTGCGCTAACTTCCGATGGTCGACATAAATGAGAAGCAAGAAAAAGACGTTGGAAAAATGAGTTGAATTTTCGTCTAAATGTGGATTATTTTATCCACAACCTCAAAATTAAGCAGTTTTACCTTGGACATAACTTTTGCATATTATTAAATGACATCCTGAAGAAAAACTCAGTTTCGAAAAAGGGAACCCAGTAGGGGACATGTATTGCTTATGCAATACTCTCAGAATGCTTGTTTATGTATGTTACAGACAGACAGTGTCTGACAGGCGGATAAACAGGAAGTTGACATCAGATTTAACCTCAAGTGTTACCCACCATGCATATGGCATGCCTTAGCAAACACTGTGCTTAAATTTCAAGCATCTTCAATTAATAGCTGATCGAGTTCCTGAGAAAACTGCAATCAAACACTTGCTACAAAAACACATACAGGCAGACAGACAGACAAACGGACTGACACACAAAGGTTAATCAGTATACCGCCCTCTCCTTCGTAGCGGTGGTATAATAATTCCTTACGAAAGGAACAGCAAAATATCATCTGAACAACATAACAAGAGGCCCAGGGGCCACAGCGCTCACCTGAGCACATCGGACTTGAATTAACCCCCCCCCCTCCAGGCGTTCATCATTTGAACAAACTAGAATCTACACTACCTGAGGATGATTCCATATAAATATCACTGATCATAGCTTTGAAGTAGTTGAAAAGAAGATTTTAAAAGATTTCCCTATATATCCCTATGTAAAACTTGGGTCGGCCATTTTGGCCCCACCCTAGCCCCAGGGGTCATGATTTGAACAAACTTGAATCTACACTACCTGAGGATGTTTCCACATGAGTTTTATCTTTCCTGGCCCAGTGGTTCTGGAGAAGTAGGTTTTTAAAAGATTTTTCCTATATATTCCTAAGTAAATCTTGGGTCGGCCATTTTGGCCCCACCCTAGCCCCGGGGGTCATGATATTAACAAACTTGAATCTACACTACCTGAGGATGATTCCACATGAGTTTCAACTTTCCTGGCCCAGTGGTTCTGGAGAAGAAGATTTTTAAAGATTTTTCATATATATTCCTATGTAAAACTTGGGTCGGCCATTTTGGCCCCACCCTTGCCCCGGGGGTCTTGATTTGAACAAACTTGAATCTACACTACCTGAGGATGATTCCACATGAGTTTCACCTATCCTGGCCCAGTAGATCTGGAGAAGATGATTTTTAAAGATTTTTCCTATATATTCCTATGTAAAAATTTGGTCGGCCATGTTGGCCCCACCCTTGCCCCGGGGGTCATGATTTGAACAAACTTGAATCTACACTACCTGAGGATGTTTCCACATGAGTTTCATCTTTCCTGGCCCAGTGGTTCTGGAGAAGAAGATTTTTAAAGATTTTTCCTATATATTCCTATGTAAAACTTGGGTCGGCCATTTTGGCCCCACCCTTGCCCTGGGGGTCATGCTTTGAACAAACTTGAATCTACACTACCTGAGGATGCTTTCACATGAGTTTCATCTTTCCTGGCCCAGCGGTTCTGGAGAAGAAGATTTTTTTAAAAATGCCATTAATTTTTAACAAATTCATGATTATCTCCCCTTGGAAAAGGGCAGGGCCCTTCATTTGAACAAACTTGAATTCCCTTTACCCAAGGATACTTTGTGCCAAGTTTGGTTGAAATTGGCCCCGTGGTTCTTGAGAAGAATATGAAATTGTGAAAAGTTTACGACAACGACAACAACGACGACAACGACAACGACAACGCCGACAACGACAGACAACGGACAAATTGTGATCAGAAAAGCTCACTTGAGCCTTTGGCTCAGGTGAGCTAAAAAACAATTTGAATCGAGGAGAGGGGGGGGGGGGGCACTCTTGACTATGTGCTTGTCCTACTTAAACTAAGAAGTGCATGTACAGGTTAAAACGTGTATATAAACTATATATGTTTCAATTAATAAAACAAGTTGCTTCCAAAAGATCGGTCATGATTTTATGTAGGTATTTATTGTTTCCATGGAAACAAATCCTGCTGCAGTAATTCAGATATATGTGATCAGTTTAAGTTTGAGTTCATCTTTTTTTTTGTCCCAGTAAATAAATTAGACTGATGAAGCATAATCAAACACTGGTGGCAGTTTTATGAGTTTTTTATACTGGTACATCAATAATTATTTGGATTATTCCTGAATTATTTGGTTACCATTATAACAACTGGTTTTTAGCTCTACTGGTCAGAGACCAGAAGAGCTTATGCGATAGTAATGCGTCCGGCGTCCGTCCGTTTGTCCGTCTGTCTGTCTGTCTGTAAACAATTTTTCAAAATGCTACTCCTCCTACAGTTTTGATCTGATTTCAATATAACTTGGCATATAAGCAGACTACCCTAATATACATAATTCTGTGTATCGGTTTTTGATTTCGACGAACGGTGTTGGCGTTGTTACTAAAAATAGAAATTTCTTTGAAATTCTTTCGAAATGCTACTCCTCCTACAGTTTTGATCTGATTTCAATATAACTTGGCACACAAGTAGACTACACTAAGATACATAATTCTGTGTATCGGTTTTTGATTTCGATGAACGGTGTTGGCGTTGTTACTAAAAATAGAAATTTCTTTGAAATTCTTTCGAAATGCTATTCCTCCTACAGTTTTGGTCTGATTTCAATATAACTTGGCACACTAGTAGACTACACTAAGATACATAATTCTGTGTATCGGTTTTTGATTTCGACGAACGGTGTTAGCGTTTTTACTAAAAATAGAAATTTCTTTGAAATTCTTTCGAAATGCTACTCCTACAGTTTTGGTCTGATTTCAGTATAACTTGGCACACAAGTAGACTACACTAAGATACATAATTCTGTGTATTGGTTTTTGATTTCGATGAAAGTTGTTGGTGTTGTTACTAAAAATAGAAATTTCTGTGAAATTCTTTCGAAATGCTACTCCTCCTACAGTTTTGCTCTGATTTCAATATAACTTCGCACACAAGTAGACTACACTAAGATACATAATTCTGTGTATCGGTTTTTGATTTCGACGAACGGTGTTGGTGTTGTTACTAAAAATAGAAATTTCTTTAAAATTCATTCAAAATGCTACTCCTCCAACAGTTTTGATCTGATTTCAATATAACTTGGCATATAAGTAGACTACACTAAGGTACATATTTCTGTATATCGGTTTTTGATTTCGACGAACGGTGTTGGCGTTGTTACTAAAAATAGAAATTTCTGTAAAATTCATTCAAAATGCTACTTCTCCTACAGTTTTGATCTGATTTCAATATAACTTGGTATATAAGTAGATTACACTAAGATACATAATTCTGTTTATCGGTTTTTGATTTCGATGAACAGTGTTGGCGTTGTTATTAAAAATAAAATTTTTGTAAATTCTTTCAAAATGCTAGTCCTCCTACAGTTTTGGTTTGATTTCAATATAACTTGGCTTACTAAGATACATAATTCTGTGTATGGGATTTTGACTTCAATGGACATTTTTACCTTGATTAATAAAGATAGCAATTTCTGTTACTCTCAAAATGCTACTTCAAATACAGTTTTAGTCTGATTATAATATAATGTGGGGTGGAAGTAGACTACACTAAGAACATAAAGAGACTTATTCAAGGATCATTATTCTTTTTTTTTTGCTAGTGTAAATTTTCAATTCCCAACTGCTTAAGTACTTTCCTCTTCCTTTGTCATGAGAACCAACCAGTAGAGCTTCAGTCTCGACAGAGACTTCTGGTTTTTTAAATAAAATTATGAATTTCTATTTTCATGTTAGTGAAATGACATTCTAAGGTTTACATTGTTTTGTGGAATTTATTTCATTGAGGAAGAAATATTATCGGGCAATAAAGCAGTTGTTTTTGTATATTAAACATATCAACGATAAGGATTTTCCTGAACTATTGGCTGCCATAGCAACCATTTTTAAAATAGATTATGAATTACTATTTTGATATTTAGTAAAATACAATTAAATTCAATTTATTTTATTGAAAAAGAGAAAAAAATCACGAATGAAGTTTTTATTATATTGTTGTATACTTGTCAGTATCACAATATTTGTGATAGCAACCATTAAAAGGAAGTGTTCAAAAACTATTTGGTTACTATTGCAACGTGATTTGGGACGCCTAAATTTTTATTTATTACTTTTTTAGCTCTACTGGTCAGAGACCAGAAGAGCTTATGCGATAGTAATGCATCCGTCGTCCGTCCGTCTGTCTGTCCGTGTTTACGAGAGTGCATTTATTGGGTATTTTTCATGCCAAGATTGTACTTATTGGGTACTTTTTGCTTATTGGGTATACCCAATAAGAAGTGTCGCTGAATATGCTTAAAACACCCTAATTGGGTATTTGCAGGTTAGTACCCAACAAAACTTGGACACGACGATTTGTCCAAAAAAGTGTCCAAAAAAGTTGCTTTCACGGACGCACCGTGTTTTGTTGTTTCAGTTTTACATTCGGAACTCTAATTCTCGAGAGTTCCGAAAATCAACTTCCGTTGATCCTGATCATAACAACGTTTGTTTTCATACAAAAAAATATGTCGACTAAGAAACACGTAATGTCAACAAGATTGTCTGATTGACAAGAGAAAAGGTAAGTTATTCGATTAATATTTATCTATTGCTGGGTTCTTGTTTAAGGAAAATTTATTTTAATGTAATTTTGAAAATAATTGTGCACAAAATTAAAATAGGTATATCGGAACAATTAATCCTAAGTTGCACTTGTATGTATTTTGAATTTTCTCTGTCTTTTTAACTCTCTTGAGGGCGAGAAGTATTTAGTAAATGATCGTATATTGTTAGATAATCTTTAATAAATCGAAAGTGTAATTTTTTTAATTTTATATCATAACCAACTTAGTATGTTCTGACAATGTATATTGGAAAGGGAAATGAAAATTTTAACAACCGTGTGTTCATAAATCAGCTGTAAATTATCGGTTCATGTAGACAGTATTACAATCGCAAAGCGGGCTGAGAGGATGATAAATGGGATAATTGCAAACAACTAAATAATTCTTTGTAAGTTTATCTCATCTGATATATAAGAGATTCATTGTATTACTGAAAAACGTTCAGTGAAAACAGTGCTTCTTTCTGTCTTTGATTTTGAGTGTCTGCTTTATTTTGATTTTTTTCTGCACTGAGGAATCCCCTTGGGCTATTAGGAATTTTAAAATACACTTGTAATACATGAAAAGCACCACCGGTATTTTCACTCCTTTTTGCTATTAAATTCCCTATATGGAAATATTCCAGACAGCATGCTCCTATTATCCATAAACCTCCACAACTGCATCCATTTTGCAGTACTACCAGACTGATTTACTTAAAAACGATCTTTTTTTTCCTAATTTGAATGCCCCCCTTTCCTTTGTTTAATATAGCAATATTTTCATGTACATATATGCCTCACAGATATCTCATTATTAAATTATATATATACATTTACTCAATCAGCTCAATGATAAGTGTCATGCAATTATGTTGCCCTTTTTTTATTTAAAGCCATATATTGCGTAACTGATCAAAAATATATTTTTGAAAAATACAAAATTAAGTAAAGAAATATAGTTAATACATTTGAATTAAAGCTTTTCATACAATTCGGAGCACAGAGAACACCTTGTTTCATCTAGTAATACGATTTTATCTTCTCTGTAATGTGTAATTTAAATCTTTTGTATTTTCTTCCAAGTCGGAGAAAATTTCCAGAGTCCAAATTAAATTTTGATATCTTTATAATGCAATTGACTTAGATTTTGTAATTTATGGAAAATTTCTATCTTTATCATGTTTATATAAATTAATGATACAAATAATAAGTTTTTATAATTTCAGTCTAATAATTTTCATCATGTTCATTGTACAATATTTAAAATCTTTTTGCATTTTTTTTAAATCATTAATTTATATATGATTAAATGTTACTAGCGAAAATTAAATTAAACTTTAATTTTAAAAAGAATCATCTGTAGTTAATACCCTGACTTTTTTCACGATGAACTTTTTTTCAATGTTACTTTTTAATTTTTGCCTCTATATTTGGGCTTGTCACTTTTTACTCGGGGATAGTAACTTTATTGCCACCAAGCTGTGGATAAGTACTTGATTTCCTTTATTGCACAGCGATGACTATGATTTAATAGCACAAAAGGCTTATGGGTTGACATATGTGAATTTATATGATTGATGCTTACTTGTGATTTTAGGATATTCCTTTTTTCCATTGATATTTCATAAATATTTTCCTAAGTATTATGTTACAATAAATTCGTTTAGATTTTTTTTAGTAATCAATATTTGCAATGGAAATTAAAACCATAATCATGTTCATTGAGGATTTTCAAGGATTTTCAATATGTAACAGGTCAAACAGGAACTTCAATTGTGAACATTGCTGAGAACACACTCATCAGAAGATGACCCTCAGAAATAGGATAATTGTAAGTAATCAGTAAAATAATCAAGAATACTTCATGCCAACCATAAGATTTTTAAAGACATTTCGCCTCTTTAAATCAGAAGAAATAGAGGGAAAAACTTGTACATACTACATGGGTACATCCCACTAATTATTTTTAGAATCGGTAGGAGAAGAAAGTAGTGCAGAAAAAATTACAAGTTCCTTAATTTGCAGACTTGCATAAAAAAAATTGGGCAGATGTACTGAATTGAGCCTCACACTTGTTGATAAGGATTATCTTTCCTACCAAAAAAGCTTGGAAAATTTAATTTATCAAGAAGATCAGCTGAATTATTTTGTGTATTATAACGCCAGTGATAATTCTGAACTTTCACTTTCATTTTTAGAGGTTCCTTTTGCCGGAAAACGAATCTGACATGCCACCTCGAGATTTTAACCAAGGAAAGACAAGTTGATGTGCTTTGATTTGAGGGGTCACTCACTTCTGAACGAAAATTAGGGACATCACTATGAGAAGAAACGTTAACATTGTCGCCTATGGGAAAACAATTAGTGGACTGTACCCATATTAGGAAGCCTATATATTAATAAGTAAGTGAAAGATGTCATAAATCTTGAATTTATTTCAAAGATGGTGTTTTCTATTATTTTCAATTGTTAAAATTTTTGAAAAAAAACAATTCTTTTATTGTTGATACACATTTTTAAACAAATTGATTCATAAATAAAGTGTCTAGCCCCCCCCCCCCCCCAACATGCTCATAATCATACATGTATCACCTATTGTTTACACATGTATCATGTAGATTAAATGTATCGATTTATATAATTTATTTATTCAGAATCATAAATGTATAATTTGATTAAGCAATTATGTAGATGTACATACTGTGGTTTATTTTCAATACACAAAAATTCACAAATGAGTATCATTCAATCCATTGAAAGTTTACACAAAACTGTTCATCAGTGTTTAGCATATATAGGTGATGTTTGTATTTTACACAGGAGGTTATATATAATAACAATTAAATGTTTTTGGAATGTCGATGATCAGCACGTCACATACATGACATACATCATTTCAGATCAGGCGCGGTGAGCTGGTTAAGTTATGTAGATGTGTGTGAACATGCACATTAACTGATTTTTCTGCAATTTCATTACATGTATTTGTTGAATGTACAATTATTTTCAACCTACTGCTGAATTAACAAAAATTCACAAATGAGTTAGGGAATTTTATTTTATGACAGCAGTATTCAAAATTTAATAGAAAAAAACTTTCTAAGGGAAAGCGATTTGTGAACAAAATGGTATCGAAACATGTGAAAGTTACACTTATTTAGCTTGTGAGAGAGTACATTTATATAAATCGTTATCTCAAATACGCAAAGACCGGACATCCGAGTAAAAACCTTCCATCAGCCCCCAGTGTTTATAGACAATCAATTTACTTTTTGTTCAGTGTTTCAGTTTTGTTTAGCTAATTTTAAGTATATACAATAAGGAACGTGATGAGGGACATAAAACTTGTATTTTACATATACAGGAAAAAAGTGTGAGTAGAAATTTGGAGCAATAAATGTTCAAATGTCGTCTAAACAAATCTCGTTACAATCTTTGATTCGTAAATAACAATTAAATGTTTTTAAACAATATTTAATTGAACGGCACGTCAATCTACAAATGATTAAAAGGCTACATGTATATACAATGTCATAGTCACGAAGTTTAACCCATAAATAAAGGCATTAAAGAAAGAAAATCTGAATTATATTTATCAGGATGAATATGCAGACATGTTTACAACTCAAAATGGCATATAGTAAACATAGATCAGTTGATCGCGGTTGAAGCTGGTTACAGTACTATGTATTACTACCTTACATTCAACAGACAAGTTTGTTTGTTGTTGAGTTAAAATTTATTCAATGTGTGTGAACATGCACATTAACTGATTTTTTTTATTTTTTAGCAATTTTTCATGTAGTAATCATATCTTGGCGCCATTTTTCTTCAACAAATCACAGTAGAACAATGTCGGCCCTTCTGCTAAAAACTGCATGATTTTGATGAAATTGTATTTTATGAAACTTGGTTAACAATAAAAAATTTGATTTTGTGTTCACCTATTCTGCTGAATTAACTTAATTACCAATGTTAACAGTGTGATTTCAGGTGGGAGCAAATTAATCATTTTTTAAATTAATTAATTTCAAGTAATGGGCATAAAAGGAATATGGTAAAATTGTACGTGTTGAATGTCTGTGTGTATGTCTGTCTGCAAATGTGATATTGTGCCATTTATTGTATTGATTTTTTTTAGGTTCATGGTGATTGGTACAGGAAAAACATGAGGTCCATGCAGATGGTGTTTAAAACTATTGGCCAGCAAATGCACACCCATTTGAATACATCTTGAAACAGCACCAGCAAAATGTGACAGTCGGCAAAATGTGTAAGTTAAAGTTTTCTAAAAAAAAAAATCCATTGAAGTGGGGGATGGGGTGGGGGCGACGAAATTAACATATTTAATAGGTGATCAGAATGTGAAAGTATTTAGCTATAACTAATCTGTATATGCACTGCTATATACATTTTGCACTTATATAGATTTTTTTTCTTATTTAAGAATTTCAAGTTAATTAGATCTACACCTTTGTTTTGTAAATTATGCATTATTAAGATTACACGGATATAAAAATTGAAGTTTCATGAATATTTGACAGTCGACATTATGCGATTTGTCAGGAAATTCAAAACTTTGTCTCATTTACCTACAAATTACAAAATTGTTACCATGGAAACAAAACAACTTTAGTGGATTATTTATTTAATCTGCAAAACCACATTTTTTTTATTTTTTAAAGTTAATAATAGTATATAAGCACTGATTTTGTCTTATATGAAAAGTGCAGGAAAAGTAATGATACACATGTGTATGTATTGAGCTATCCATTATTATGATGTCATTGTGACGTCATAGATGAGTAAATTTGCGTTGGTATAAAAATTGCTTTGAAACAAATGATTCTATATAGGATTATAAAGGCTTATAACTTTTTTATTTATAGACCAAATTTCATGAATGATACATCAATGGACAGGAAATAATCAGTTCTTTTTTATTTTACTACTTTCGGGGTATTTGTTAACTTCATTTTTTTGTCATTTCTGGAGAAACTATGAATTAGAGGGTGAAAAGTGGTCATATTTTGTGCGGAAATACATTAATTTTTTAAAATAAGTGAAATTGACCCAATTAAGTGCTTGATTATGATTTGACTATATGTATTTAAAGTTATGAAGTTGATTAAGAATGGTATAAATGTGTTAATAGGCTAAAATTTGACTTAAAACTTGGGTGCAGTTTTGGCTAGATTGGAGCATTTTTTAAGGATATTACACATAGACCTGTAAATGCTGTAAAATCTTTATTAATTGTTGAATTTTCATGAAACTTGGCATGATGTCTCTACTTATGCTCTAGATTGACAAACAGTGTGAAATATTGTAAAATAAAAAAATTGCTTTTTCATATTTACATAACTACTAGGCAACCAACCTTTAACGGCAGGAAAGCTTTTGGTATATGAATACGGCTACATAAAACCTCTTTAGTATTCATGTTGAGTTTGAGAAAGTACCTTAGTATTTTTTCTAGTGTTTGCCAACATTTTCATGCACACTGTTTGCTTGTTTGTACTATCATTTTATTTTGTATTCTTCAGATGCACTTTACCTTTGCCAGTTTTGAATCATTTGTTTTAAGGGCATCTGAGGGTTGGTTCCAGAACTTAATTAATTGTAAAGTAAATACCGTGGTACTATTCAGTCATAGGTTATGTTAATACGTGTATAACATTTTGTTCTGATAGAGGTATATGAATACGTGTTTAACATTTTGTTCTGATAAAGGTGGCATACAGGAAAAGAAACAATACTAGATATTACTTCAAAGGAATAAAATAGCTTCATCTTGTAGGTGTATTTTATTTAAGGATCACTACTTCATGTCTGATGTGGTGAAAGTTATTCATATTCTGTTTGACTGTAATTTTTCATATTTTCAACTTCCATCCAGCTTAGTCAATTTTAATTAAATTTTGTGCAAAGCATACCCCAGGAAGGGGGGGGGGGTGGAGTGTCAAGTGTGTCTCTGTCCCTGTCAATATAATTTCAAAGCAGTTAGTAAGGTTTGGGTCAATTTTAAATCCTCTTTAGCAGAACCATTGGGCTAAAAACAATACTAATGTGAAAGCTTTATCATTAAGTGTAGAGATGTTTTTGAAGATTATGTACCCCTAATATACTGATAGTGTTACATTAGAAGTCTAAAATTTGCATGGAATAGGTGTAAAATCTTTTTAAAATCTCCTTCTTAACAATCAGAAACTAACAAACTGTCTAATTAATATGCAACATCGTTTTGTGTATTGAATGATGATTCCATTTGATAAAATTATGGCAGATGGGGGGTAGGATGAAGATGCAGTTAGACATAGAAGAAACAAAAAAGAGTTGATAGAATTTAGTTTTTCTTCTATTTTATTTATCAATACATATTTCTGAATAAGAAATATACTTCTACTTCTTGGTTGGGTTTGATCAACATAAAGGGTGATCTTACTGTAGTCAAGAAAAACATGTTTTATATTGCAAAGACATGCCTTTATCTAATTGCAGTATGAATAAAAAGGACAGAGGCAGATTTGAAGGAGATGCATGAAATGAGGAATATTTCAAAGAATTGCCTGAGCATAACCACTGCTACTGGATAAACATATGGCAATATAAAAGAGCAGGGTCAATGGAGGTATCATACAGTATAGGCCATGAGAGACCCAGAAGAAGAAAGTATGGAAGAGAAACAAAAATAAAACCATTTTGACATTTATTGAAATATAGGATCAAAGCCTTACATGTAAAATTTGGGCATGTAATGACTTTTCTCTTGCTCTAAGACTTATAACAGTGATGATTTGATTTAATATCTTTATCCCGATTTGTCGAAAAGATTTGGACATAGTGCATCAATTATTTTAAAGTTTTGATACAACGAATTCATTCATTGTACTTGTAACTGAGTTTTCTGGTGTGACACTGTTTTATCGGCTTCAAAACTAAGTTTGTGATTTCCAAACCAGGTTAATGAGATACGTGTAATATCTTTTAACATCGGTGACTATTTAATCCATTCTTTTACATCTCAGAAGTATTTTTATTATTACAGGGAAAATATGCATTGTACATGTGTCTGTAATAAACAGGATTATAGAAATTTTCCATATAATACAACACAATCTTAGCAACTGAAGGCAAATATTTTATCAAGGGTGTGATCTATTTATCAATATGGTTTTCAGCATCTTGCTCTACCTGTAATGACTTGCTCTAAGTTCCAATATTTAAATTTAAAAATTTTGCAAACATGGTTATAAAATTCTTTAAAAGCCAAATAGTTTAGGCACAAAATGCTTATATATTTCCTATCATTTGTAAAGTGTACACTGAATGAGATGTGGAATGTTAGAATTAAAGTATTAAATATGTTTTGGACTTATGTATGCTTATGCAAATAAATTTGAATTCAACTAGGGAAGGTAAATGTCATACTTATTGGGTTTGCAATCTAATGCAAGAGTATAAATATCCAAGACAAATTTGACAATTTTAATGAAGGGTATAAGTAACCCAAGAAGAGTTGAACCAATGTCCAATACCTATTGGGTTTTCTTTCTTATGAAAAAAATTTTGAGTAACCCAAGAAGAATGTCCAATACCTTTTAATTTATATACTATTGGAGGGATGAAGATATCCAAGAAGAATTGGACAGGTGTCCATTACATGTTGGGTAGTATTCTTATGAGGAGATTCTCAAGAAACCCAAGAATTAGACAAGTGTCCATTGCCTGTTGGGTGGGATGTAGATATCCAAAAGGAGTTGGACAGATGTCCATTACCTGTTGGGTGGTATTCTGATGAAATAATTCAAGAAACCCAAGAAGAATTGGACAAGTGTCCATTACCTGTTGGGTGAGATGTAGATATCCAAGAGGAGTTGGACAGGTGTCCATTACCTGTTGGGTAGTATTTTGATGATGCAATTCAAGAAACCAAAGAATTAGACAAGTGTCAATTTCTTGTTGGGTGGGATGTAGATATCCAAGAGGAGTTGGACAGATGTCCATTACCTGTTGGGTGGTATTCTTATGAAACAATTCAAGAAACCCAAGAAGAATTGGACAAGTGTCCATTACCTGTTGGGTGGTATGTAGATAGTCAAGAGGAGTTGGACAGGTGTCCATTACCTGTTGGGTTGTATTTTGATGATGCAATTCAAGAAACCCAAGAATTAGACAAGTGTCCATTGCCTGTTGGGTGGGATGTAGATATCCAAGAGGAGTTTGACAGATGTCCATTACCTGTTGGGTGTTATTCTGATGAAGCAATTCAAGAAACCCAAGAAGAATTGGACAAGTGTCCATTACCCGTTGGGTAGGATGTAGATATCCAAGAGGAGTTGGACAGGTGTCCATTACCTGTTGGGTAGTATTCTGATGATGCAATTCAAGAAACCCAAGAATTAGACAAGTGTCCATTGCTTGTTGGGTGGGATGTAGATATCCAAGAGGAGTTGGACAGATGTCCATTACCTGTTGGGTGGTATTCTTATGAAACAATTCAAGAAACCCAAGAAGAATTGGACAAGTGTCCATTACCTGTTGGGTAGGATGTAGATATCCAAGAGGAGTTGGACAGGTGTTCATTACCTGTTGGGTTGTATTTTGATGAGGAGATTCAGGAAACCCAAAAAGAATTGGACAAGTATCCATTTCCTGTTGGTTGGGATGTAGATATCCAAAAGGATTTGGACAGATGTCCATTACCTGTTGGGTGGTATTCTAATGAAGCAATTCAAGAAACCCAAGAAGAATTGGACAAGTGTCCATTACCTGTTGGGTGGGATGTAGATATCCAAGAGGAGTTGGACAGGTGTCCATTACCTGTTGGGTTGTACTTTGATGAGGAGATTCAAGAAACCCAAATAGAATTAGACAATGTACACATGTTCAATTGTTCTTGGGTAGTTTAATCCCTTCATCAAAATACAACCCAACAGGTATTGGACACCTGTCCAATCCCTGTTGGATACCTTCATTCTGCCCAATATTTCCTTAAATACTTATTTTTGTTATTCAAGAAAGGTTGAACAGAGTCTGAGATGTGTTGAGTTGTGTTTGCACAATTCAGTTTTTTTTTTTTGCACTTAGGTATTCATATATTTTAATATAAGATATTTTGAAATATACAGTTGTATATCGTTATTGCTAAGAACAAATTAGTTAGGTATTACAATAAAAGAGCTATATCACAAAAATTGACAAAAATATGGGTTCAAAACCAAAGGTTTTCAGTTTTGTCTGAATTTACCAGCAAATATTAAATATATAATAAATTTGGAATGAATAAAAAACAATAAGAAAACACCCAATAAAATACGGACGAGGAATTAATATACAATAAGATTTGAACAGTAACTACCCAAATAATGCTCTCTCGTGTGTACACTTTTTTTGTATCCAATAAGCAGTATCCAATTTACATTTTTGGTCTGATTTCAAATAAAATAAAGGGACACAAATAAACTTTCACTAAAAATTATTCTGTGTATCGGTTTTTGATTTCGATGAACGGTGTTGCCATTGTTACTAAAAATAGAAATTTCTGTGAAATTCTTTCAAAATGCTACTTCTCCTACAGTTTTGGGTCTATTTTAATAAACCCGGGGACAAAGAACCAAAACTAAAATACATAATTCTGTTTTTCGGTTTTTTATTTTGATGAACCGGGTTGCTGTTGTTACTAAAAATAGAAATCTCTGTGAAATTCTTTCAAAATGCTACTTCTCCTACAGTTTTGGTTTTATTTCAAATAACTTGGGACCCCAATAACTTACGCCCAAAATACATAATTCTGTATTTTGGTTTTTTATTTCAATGAAGTGTGTTGCTGTGGTTAATAAAAATAGAAATTTCTGTTAAAAACTCTCAAAATGCTACTCCTCCTGCAGTTTAAGTCTGATTATGATATAATGTGGCATCAAGTAGACTATACTAAGAACATAAAGAGACTTAATCAAAATTATTATTCTGTTTATTGCTTGGAAAGTTTTAATTCCCAACTGCTTAAGAACTTTTAAATTTTCCCCTTTCCCTTGCTATAAGAACAAATCGGGAAGCTCAAACTCAAAAGAGACTTCTGGTTTAATGTACATAAGTGAAATAACAAATATGATAAGTGTTGTCTATTGTTTGAAGAAATTAAATAATGCACTGAGGCCACAGATTCTGCATAATGAAAACGGCAATAGCTACAGTGATTTTTCCTGACTTTTTGGGTTTGAAACCTTATTTTTTTTTTTAAATTTTTAACTTGCATTTTTATTATTTTATTTTGAAATTATGAGGTTTAGTAGTGTGATTTGTTTTACTCTTGATTTTTTTAAACTTTTTACGAAAAGGAGCCGAAAGTTGAATCCACAAATTAATCCAAAATCTCCATAGCAACCATTTTCATTTTTGTTTTATTTTATTTTAA